TCATCCACCTGATAAACTAGATAGTATTTTTTTTTTAAATACAAGCTATACTCTTAAAGTATCTTTTCATTTTAAAGGATCTTCGCATCAATTTCTTTTCATCAATTTGTCTTGAGTCACAAAATGGCCTTTTCACTCGTGCAGCAGTGACGGCCGAGTGTTTCCGTACCTCCCACCAAAGACTCCAGCAGGTGATTAACACTCCTTCAGTCAGAGAGGACGGACTAATGAAGCGAAATCACCTGCTGTCTGCTTAGTTTGAACTGAAATCCACACAGTACAGTCCGTCCTTAATGCCCCCCGGTCAAACAGCTAAAGTTTGTTCTCTGCACAGAAAGACTCAATCCAAGTAATTGTGGTGAAGGAAACCATTTATTTTTAAACGAGCCATGTGACGGGAGGAGAGGGGGGGTGGGGGACGCAACTATTTTTTGCTCTGTGCCCAAATATAGATGCTGCTTCTATCTTGGGCAGCTCTGAAGTACATGTTCTCTGTCTCTCACCCTCCCTCCCCTCATGTCTCCCTCTCCTCCCCCGGCCCGATCAAGCTTTATTTTTGTCTACTTTTGTATCACCCATGTGACTTTCCTCCCCTGCTATTTAAAGCAGGCAGTGTCTGTGTGTTTTGAATGTCGAAGGTGGCGGATGGAGAATGGAGTGTGTGTTTTTGGGTGAGGGTTGGAAGAGGTGGGGGGTGCTGCTGTCTTTGGATCTTCTGCTGCATCCCTCCCTCCGTCCTTTTTTTTTTTTTTTTTTTTCTCTTCCTCTGAGGTGGGAGGGGCTGCTCGTTGATAGGCGAGTTTGGGGTGCGACAGATTATATAACAGCACGTAACGAGAGCGTACGGGGCATACGAGGACCGCAGTCTGTCCTCACTGAGAATCTTAATTGGGGATTTGGTGTGGGGGGGGTTTGGGCTCTGTCTCGCTCTCTTTGCATAGGAAGTTGAATCCAAAATACACCCAATCACCCTGTGGGTAACTGATAGTCAAGACCATGCCAGCATTCTCTACAACTAAACACACTACATCTGCTTATTTTACTAATCGGCACACCAGAATAATCAGGGAATTTAAAAAGAAATCTGAATCTCTATGAAGATGATAACATGAGTTGCTCATCCTCACACACATGCCTTCTGTCATGCATTCAACATTGATCTAAATCAAAAGATTCTTCACATGTGTCGGTGGGTTTTTGTGGTCGCCCTGTTTAGTTTTAGTTTTTTTTCCCACTGCTCATGAGATCAGATCTTGTGTTTTTTGTTTCATTATCTCCCAGCCTGCAGTGCTCATCTGGGCTTTAGGTGGAGGGCTGAGGATGCAGCAGCCTGGTCGTCGTGGTGATGCTGATGGTGGTGGGGGATCTTGTTGGTATTCAGGTGCTGCGGCAGGCAGCCAGGCAGGCAGGCAGGCAGCTCCCAGACGAGGCAGTGCAGGCGCGCTGCTATTTTTACTCCTCCTGCTGCTTTTTTTAGACCCTCGGAATAGTGAGCAGGCAGCGGCAGGGGCTGCTCCACTGGTGAGGAGGGAGGGAGGGAGGGAGACAGAAAAGGCTGGGCGATGTCAATACCTCTGGACGTGATGTGCAGCACTGAGCATGGCGGAGCAAATGCGCCCCCGTCAGGCCGCTTCGGAGCCAGCATGCTGGACCAGTAAGGCGTTGGGATGGATGGAGGGGAAACTGGGAATGAATGAGACAGCAGTGCACGCATCCCCCTCCTCCAGCACACGCATGAATACATTCATGGATTTACACGCGGCTCTTCCCCAGCCTCTCCCAAATCTCCATATATATATATTTTTTTTCCTTTTCTTTCTCCATTGTACACATCACGCTCATACGTGGTTGCCCCGTCAACACACGTTCAACCCTTTGTTGTCGGTGTGCGTGCGTCTTCTCCGAGCGTCAGGAGCGCTGCTGTCAGTCACATGCTCGCTTGCGTAGATCTTTTTCTCTTTTTTTACATTACATCTGTGTGTGTGTGTGTGTGTGTGTGTCACAGATGTAATGCGTTATTCACGTGAGGGGAATTAATTCCTGCTTGGAGCACTCGGGTGTTTGATGTACAAGCGGAACACAGTGTCCAAAAATACCATTTGTATGGTTCTGTCACTGTGGAAAGAGTTGACTTTTTTATTTCCCTCTCTGTCGTTTGTGCAGTGTCCAGCGTAGATTCATGGTTGAAGGGTTGCCAGTTATTGGTGGAACAATTGGCATCTATTTTCATTTTGGTGTATTTGAGGCGTGGCTGATAATCCGGAATACTTGCTTTTGTTCGTGTAATCGGTGCACTAATGGCAACTCAAAGTCAAAAAGGAAATGTCTTGAGACTCGAGAGGAACTCTGTCCTCACCGCACTGCCCCCCCCGCCGTTACACACACTTCTCTCACTCACTCCGACAACGTTTATTGAGAAAATGGTACTATTAAATAATTAGTGGGAGGAGTGTAGTCATTCACAAGTACAGCACGAGGGCCTGGGGGGTTGTGGGGACTGGGCATTAGACCCGGGGGGGTAGACAAATGCAGATTTTAAATTCAAAGTGAAATCACCAAACCAAATCTGGCCTCCCACTTCAGATAAAACAAGTAGACATCTGTCCAAAATAGTTTGAGTTTGAATGTTTCAAGTCACCTTATCGTAAAAATTATTGTAGTTTACAATTTTTTTTGAGTTTAATTACAAATGTAATCATGTGCCCTGACAGCATGCGAATGTTTTGCGAAAAGATTGATTTTAATGAGTGTAAAGGCCCATTCTCAGGTTTTTAGTCGTTGTTTAGTGATGAGACAATCAAGCGATTAGTGAGACCAGAAGATAAGAGTTAAGACTGACCCTGTTCAAACGGTCATGCCACACTTGCGTTTCAGTGCATAACACATTCTCGCACGCCTCTCCTCTGTCAGGTTATATGGTTGAAATGCCGACGCTGTACGTGCATTTTGACACATTCTCGCACGCAAGGTGCAACTCTCTGCACCTGAAACTCAGTCATGCGAGCGGGTGACATCCCAGCGGCCTTTCTTTGGGATAAATTTCTGTCCTATGTGACAGGAATGTGGCTCTTCTTGTTGTAGTTTTGTGTCTTTTTTTTTTTTTTTCTAGTTCAGTTTCAGGTGACAGTCATTTCTCCCTCCTCGAAGGTACCGTAAGGCATAGTTAGAGAAGCTATTTCTCATCAGTCAGTCCTCACTTGTTGGCACAACATGTCTCAGAAAAGGTTGTCTGGCTGTTGCCATCTAGCAACCTTGTAACTCCGGTCGCGTTGACTTTTCATGATCTAAACGGTTTCATCATCCTCCTCTCAAAACTTGCATGACTGTCACCAGAGAGGAGGCAGATTTGTTTTTATTACAGTTCCTGGCGTGCGTGTGCGTGTGTGTGTGCGTGTGTGTGTGTGTGTGTGTGTGTGTGTGTGTGTGT